CCACACAGCCCGGAAGACCCACACCAGCCATCGTATGCCGGCCGTGAAAGCCTTCGACAACTATATAACAACTCACAAATAGCAAAGGTTTAGACTCCATGAGCATGACAGTTGTGCAATCAAGGCTTCCAGAGGCACGATGTTTTCTAAATCTGTTCAGCTAAGCATACCTAGAATGAATCTTCAGGCCTTTTCCTAATGTGGAAGGGGGAGGAGCAGCTAGGATTAACACAGGGCCAGATGTTGACAACCGGGAAAGAATACAGGGCCCTCATCCAATTTGTGCCTATCTCGGTTTTTAAAAATGCCTTAATACGGTGAAAGTCTATTCACATTTTACACTATGCTAAAAATAGTATATTACATTACAATTAAAGACTGCAAAAGCTGTTGGCAGTTCCTATGTTTCTGATTCAGTCCCTATGCAGCCATGGAGCTTAATGGGCAACTCTGGCTACTCTCTCTCAGCCTGAATTACCTCAACAAGTTTGATGGTATTATGGGGATAAAACCTGAACCCTAACCTGATATATCCCACGTTCACATCTCAGAGAAAATATCAAAACAAAACCCTTCCTCTCGAAACTCCCGAAGGCTAAACTCCCAAAGACTGCATGGACATGCCCATACTGTTTCCTTTGCAGTAATATGGAAGTCATTTGCCATTGCCCTTCTTTTTAATTCCTAGTCTAGACTACTGCCTTGGGATTGCCTAGTGGTCACCCATCCATCCAGGGACTAACCAGGTGTTGATATCTGCTGTAACCTCAAGGAAATGGCATGTTGTAAGTGCAACAAAGGAATAAATATAACAAGTATTTCTGCTAATTGCATGCAATTTTTAAAAGTAATGGAAAAAACACAGAAACTATCCCAATTCTATCAAGATACCTGAACTTCTTGTACAGAGGGTGCAGGATTCTCCAGCAAGGTTTGTTCTGATAACAATTTAGAATAAGTTTCTTGTAATTGTTTAGTGACTGTTTCAGATGTTGATGTTGTCTTTGTTTTATTGGCAACAGCTTCTTTCTGTTTCTTGTAAAGGTCCTGAAGTCTTTTATTTTTTTGCTCTGTTGCCTCCTTCTGTGCTTTCTTTTCTTCACTTTGTCTCTTCTTCCTCTCCTCTTGCTGTTTCACGATATAATGGCGCACTTCATCTGCATCATAGTGGCGTTTCTTTAAAGTAAACTGAGTGTCTTCACTGATGGGAACTTTGTCTGATTTTTTTTTGCTTGGACTGTGACTTCTAGAAAAAGGAGATGGTTCTGATTCTTGATTCTGAAATTTTTCATTCCCCTCCTCTATACCCTGAGAAACAGAATCCAGCTGTAGATCATCAAGAATCCCACGGATTTCTACTGGCAAGAAATCCTTGTTTACATGATCATTTCCCAGTTCCCCACTGTGAGCAACAGCATCTTTTTTCTTCAGGTTATTCTTTGCTCTTATTTTGCTCCATGAACGCTCAGCACATTTCGAGAGGGGTTTTACAGTCACATGTATATTGCAGTCAGTTTCTGTTATTTCAGTGCAGGATGCTAGAAGGGGAGTGGAGGGGAAAGATCAGAATGTAGCATTAACAAGTGAGTAAGATTCAAATTCAAAGATTCATCTTAATATCCAGTATTTGGGTTACGTTATTTCAACATGATATCCAGAAATGGGATATAATGTATAAACTGTTTCCTTTGATACACAGAGAAAAATTACTTTTAGAATGTTGGAAATAATATTGGCCGATAGGTAAGAAAATAATATGCAACTGCAATGTAATTTTAGCTTCTCATTTTTTTAGAACCATTACCTGAAAAAAAAACTCTGAAACTGGTCATGAAAGTATTAGTTAGGCCTACAGTTTTCATGTTCTCAGATTTTCAGCTGGAACACCCATGGCAGTTTGCTATATGAAAGCAATTATTTACAGCATGATGTAACTATATATAGACTCTAGAATACAGCTTCTATTACATAACTACAATTTGGCAGAGCTCCAATTTGGCAAAGCTGGATGTGGTCAGCAGTAGAATAATTTAGTTTAGGAATAGATAAAAATACTTCAAAATCTCACTGCCTTCATTGAAAAATGATAAAAATTCTTATATTTTTTCCTTAGAGATTCTTTTGCTGGTATCATAACATTTCATGAAATCCTGCTGGGTGGTTGAGCATGAAAAATCTTAGTTTTACTGACATCTGCCATTTTGTGTTTTTTAAAGAGGGAAGAAATTAGTAATTCTGTGCTGTATGATATTCATTCAGCCTTTAAGGTGAAGCTACTATTCATTTTCTTATTTTGTGATTTAAAGAACTGTGTGTGTACAATATGATCCAGAGAATAATTGTTTAGAATTAAGTTCCACCATGTTCAGTGTATTAGGCACAAAGTGAACAGTTGCTTTTCATTGGCATGAAAAATGCTCTGACAGTAACTGAGCAGCATTATACATGCATACATACATACACACACAATATTAAAATAGAAAACAAAACTTATATATATACACATGCATACATGTGTCTATGTGTGTATGCATATATATAAATTAACTTACCAGATTTAATGAATTTATCTTTTTCATTTCTGTCACTGGATAACGTCTGAGTGTTTGGCTGCTCTAGTTTAGGTGCTGGACCCAGTATTTTCTTTGCTAACCTTTGTCCATTCCGCCAGGATGTTGTACTTATTGTGTTAGCACCACCTAGACAAAGAAAAAGGACACAGAACATCATTTCCATTTCTTATTGAATAACACACCAGTACTCTACATTTTAAGGACAGTACATGGAATGTTTATATAGAAGGATAAGATAGGATTGCTGTCTCATCCATTCACAGAATGAAGTCATCATCTGAAATAGTGGACAGTAGGGGCTTGGGTAGTAGCAGCCTCCTCTACTGTTCTCCTAGAGTTCCTTCTTCAGGGGTTTCTATTGAACAATGCTAGCTATCCTTGCTTTTAAAGTTTGCTTATCATTATTCAGACTGGTTCTCTTGCTAGCTCTCAATGTGTTTTACAGATAGTACTACTGAGAAAACCAGAACAGAACTCTTGCAGTCAAGCTTAGGATCTTCACCTTAGCACAGGGACATGTATGTGAAATACTCTGTTCACATGAAAGATGCTGTTAATATAGCATAATATTTGTTTGAGGAAACAGTAAGCCAGCATGAGGGTGGGGAGAGGTTGAAGAACAGAATATGCGTGCAATCCTCAAATGCATGGAAGCAGCTATTTTGTCTCCATTAATGCAATTTCAACTGCCAGAATAAGCTAATTCATGAGAAGCTTATTCCCAAAAAGCAAGATTAAAAAAATACAGAGGTGTCATCTTGATCTTAATTTCAGTCCAGTATGGAACAAAAAGGAAGACATATATTATTTGCAAAGTACAGGCCAACACCGATGATTTTCAGACTTGAATTAGTACTATTACTACTACTACTACTAATAATAATTTTCACCTTCATTAATAATAGTTTTTGCCTTTGCTTGCAGGAAGGTGAAAATTCAACATGTAACAAACAACAGCAAATGTTGCCTTTGTAGTGAAAAGGATGAAACAACTGACCATTTGACCAGTGGCTGCAGCAAAATTTCACAAACTGACTACAAGCAGTGTCATGACCAAGTTGCCAAAATTATTCATTGGAAACTGCCAGAGGTTTGGATTTGAATGTAGTAAACACTACTGGGACCATCAAATTGAGAAGCTTTTGGAAAATGAGTGGGTTAAGATCTTATGGGACTTTAATATCCATACAGATAGGCATCTTGTTCATAACACCCCTGATATAACTGTCATTGAAATGAAGAAAGTCTGGTTCATTGATGTTGCTATACTGGGTGATGCTAGGATTGAGGAAAAGCAACTGGAAAAAATTATGAAATACCAGGACTTGCACATCGAAGTTGAACACTTATGGAAAAAGAAATCCGCTGTTATACCAATTATGATTGGAGCCCTTGGAACAACACCTAAAGGACTTCCTCGATATCTGGAAATATCGAATCACTGGTTAGGACTTGAATTATTAAGTTTCCACCAGTCTTAGCTGTGAATCTAACTGTAGATTACCCACAAATAATAATAACAATAATAGTGATAGTAATAACAATAATAATAATAATTTTTAAAAACCGGAGCACCACTTGAAGACCATCGGCATTGACAAAATAACCATCAGTCAATTGCAAAAGGCAGCTTTACTTGGAACAGCTTACAT